GCAGTTTCACCCAGGAGAGGAAAAGATAAAACTTAATGAAAATTTGTACTTATTTCTGTTCCATTTTCTGCAGACAGTGTCACCATCATACCTTCAGGGAGCTAGGAGCATGGTCTACACAGTCCCATAGTGAGAATGCAAATTAAACAAGTCTCTGTGGCTGGAGAGGGCTCAAGGGATAATTGCACTTGTTGCTCTTGCAGATGACCTGAGTTTGGATCCTAGCACCCACGTACAACCATTTTTAACTCCAGTTCCAGGGGACCTGACACGCTTTTCTTTCCTCTGCAGGTACCAGGTATGTACACAATACACATACAAGCATCCAAGCACATAAAATCACACACATAAAATAAAACAAATCTTTTAAAAATTGAAAACAATGTGTCTACCCATATTTCACCTTCTTAGACTTTCTGGCTGGAAAGTTTATTGTCAAACCTATGAGCACTTTGTAAGTGTCAAAAGTTTGCAGCATTCTTTCTCAAGTCACTCCTCTGCAGGCTGCTCCCACACTAGACTTCTCTCTAGTTTGTGTTTCTCCTCACCTTGTGTCGTATCTTGTTGGATGCCTGTATATAATCCATTTTATGTCCTTGCTGAAAAAAAAATCAACATCTGAACCTTTGGGGGGATTACAGTTTTTATTGTAGCCAGGAATAGCTATGCAAGATTTCATCTTGACATGTCTTTTCCTTGGAGGAATTTTGGCTATTAGAGAAAGCTGTATCTCATGATTTTATGTTGATGAAAACTTCGCCACCACCTTCTCAAACTTCTGTGAAAAGAAAAATATATATATACTTAATAAGTTCAGTGTTATAGACTAATTTTAGAGTGGTTTGTTTTGTTGTAAGATTGTAGGTCTTTCAGACCCCCATCATTTTAGCTGACTCTCCCTCCCCACTCCCTCTCCACTACCCTCCCATCTTCTCTCAATTTAAACTTTTCTGACACATGTATTGCCCCCTCTGCTTGCATATTACCTATGATCTGATCTACTATCCTGTTTCTCTTAAGGTGCCCCTTCCCGGTGGTCTTTTCCCAACTCTGTCATCCACAGGAACTCTAAAACAAACTCACAAAATAATGATATAAAGCTGAAATGCACATATGGAAGAGAACACACACTTGTTTTTCTCTGCCTGGGTTACCCCACTCAGTATAATTTTTTCCCAGTTTCACCCATGCATCTGCAATTTCCATATTTGTTTACATCTGGATAAAAATTTTGCTATGTACACGTACCACGTGCACCAGTTGGTAGAAATTTACACTGATTGCATAAAGCAAAAATAAGTGTGAATGAACAAGTATCTTGGCAGTAATATATGCAGTGCTTTGGTATATGCTCAGAAGTGGAATGATTGCATTTAATGGCAGTTCCTTTTTGAGGAATCTCCACACCGTTTTCTGTAGTGGCTTGACCAGTTTGCATTCCTTTCAAGAGTGAATGAGGGCTCCACTTTTCCCACATCATTGCCAACATTTGTTAAGATTTAATTTATTCATATTAACATTTTGGACTGTGGTGAATTAAATTTCAAAGTAGATTTAATTTAAAAATGGTTACATCTATTGAACATTTTTTAAAGTGTTAATTAGTCATTCATATTTCTTTTTTTCAGCATTTTTGAACAAATCTGTAGCTTGATTTTTTTTAATTGGGTAGTTCATTTACTTGATTTTTTGTGTATGCTCTAGATATTAATTCTTGTAGTAAGCTTTTGAGTTGCACTATCTTTAGATCACCAACCCCCCAATAATGACAGGGAGACTTATTATGAGAGCTTGTCTATGTACTTTTTTTGATTGGTGGAAATTTGCTTTGTATCTATAAGTTTGCCAATGTTCCTAAAAGCCAGCTTCAACAACAGCAACAAATACCTCTCCATATCTACAGATTACTTTTGTGCTTAAACTCAAATGTTTAGTCAAGATATTGACAGTTTTGCTTCTGTAAGTCAAAACACACTTCCTGCTTAAACTGAGTACATTGATCAGCCAGTGGTGAAATTTTATGATTTCCATGTCTTTTATGAGCATACCTACTGCTCTAGATGTCTGTAAATTTTTCTAAATTCCCCAATATATACACTAGCACTTTTACACGCTCTGGTTTCCTAAAGACACTTTCCTTTAGCCCTTTCCTGACTTCAGACAGTCTATTATATGCATTTTAGGCCTAATCATTAGGCACAAACAATTGTGTATTTCTCCGATAGTGAGCAGTATTTCCAAGCAATGTTCCCACTTTTCTAGTTGACTGGTTTTCAGCTTTGATAAAAATGCATTTAATCATTATTCAGATGTCATATAGAAAAATAAATCAGATAAACATGATAATTTGTAAAACTTTCTCTTTTCTCTTTGGAGCCAGAGACCTAGTGTCTTCCCGTGTCATCCTCTTGAGAAGTCAAGACAAGTGAACATGCAATAGCATTCTAAACCATCTTAGCTTGCCCTTATATTGAATTATAATTTTCCAGGTTCCTGCAAATCTTTACTTCCAAGATTCTTGAAAAAATATGCTTATGTTCTTATGTCCCAGGAGTAGGAGAAGCACATGCCCAAACATTTTTTTGATATCACTGCACAAGAGTCTTTTCAACTTCCCTAGCTCGAATAACCTGATTTATCTTTGATTCTGGATATCAAGTAGCCAATTTGACCAACAAAGAATACATGGTGTTTTTTTAATGACTTCTCTCTTTTGAATCTTCTGTCTGAGAATTATTAGCTTACTTACTCAGTGGCTGAAGCCAGGAGATGTCTTTTCTCATTTCTTTGGTACTACAGCAGCCAAATCCCACAGGAGCACTGCAGCCTTCTAAGAATCATCTTATCATACACCCATCTTAAACTTACTGTTCCCGTGTTAGTTCAGGCTTCTGCAATACTTCAAATTGATTATAGCTAAGTGTCTTGCCTGGATAACTTGGGTCTCATTTCTTCCTGCTCTACTTCCTATACCCATGTGCTGAAATCACTCTTGTTTTTCTCAATAGACCTAGGACACGTGGCATTTCCTATCTTCTGTTCTTACCATCATAAACTCATTCAGCATAAATAATTATGTATACCTAACTCTGCAGCATACAGCAAGAGTTGAAAAATGAATCTTAAATGTCTAAAAGAGACTCATAATACTACACCCATAGTAACATTACATAGCACAAAAGGCACCACAATGCAGCATCCAACAAAGGATCTCTTTACACAAAAGCATCAAGAGCATTTGTGTGTGTGTGTGTGTGTGTGTGTGTGTGTGTGTGTCTGTATGTATTTACAAACTTTAAAAAGCTGAATTCTCTTTCTTGCCTCTTTATCTCTGAATTTGAAATTTCAGCCAACATTTCCAGGTATATTTCAATATTATCTCATTTGCATCCTACCCATGAAACATATATACCTCACAGTTCTGCATTGAATTATACACTAAATGGAAATCTCCAAATCAATGATAATGCCCTTGAACAAAAGGGGGCAATACAGATGTTAGAAGAAAGACTCATTCTCAACAGAAGCTATAAGCAGAATGTAGGTCTGCCAAGAAGCCTCCTGCTATTCATTCATTCACACAAGCTAAAGGCATTTGAGAGGAGGGAACCTCAATTAAGAAAATGTCATAAGATTGGGCTGTAGGCAAGTCTGTAGGGCATTTTCTTAATTAGTGACTGATGCAGGAGCACCCAGCCACTGTGGATGGTGCCATGATTAGGCTAGTGATCCAGATTCTGTAAGAAAATAGGCTGAGAAAGCCACGAGGAGCAAGCTGGTAAGCAGTTCCCTTCTATAGCCTCTGAATCAGCTCCTACTTCCAGGTTCCTGCCCTGTTTGAGTTCCTGTGGACTATGATGTAGAAGTATAAGCCAAATAAACCCCTCCTTCTCCAAGTTGCTTTGGTTGTGGTGTTTCTTCACAGCAATAGAAAGCCTAACTGAGCCAAACAGTATGCTCCTCTATCCCTGAGGCACCTTCCTGAAAGTTTTTTGTTTGCTTTTGTTTGTTTGTTTGTTTTTCTTTTCCTCACAGAGTGTTTTTCACTTTCTTGTGGACACCGAACTTAATGTTGGCCCAGGAATATGACAACTTTCCACACATAGACTGATTTGTTATTGGAAAGTCCATAGCCAGAGACATACAGTAGATATTCAAAGTCTGCTTTTAAGCACAAATAGGGAGAGCAGGTTTGATTTATTTTTAAGTCATCAATTTTGCACTCTGTATCTCACGTGACTCATGTTCATTGTAACAAGGGGATTTAGTACTCATGCATATGAGGCAGTGTACTGCACCCTTTGGGTTATCACCCTTAAGGTTAGATTTAAGACCTGTTTAACAAGAGGGAAACAATGCATAGTACTGGAAACCTAGCTAAATATTCAGTGCTGGTGGTCATGGTTATTGAAAGAGAATCAACAACCATTAATTTACTAAGTCAGCATAATCCCTAACAACAGTTCTAGGAACACTTTTCTTTATACCCACAGATAAATGTAGTCTTCACCCCTCATCAAGGAAAGTTTTCTTTGCAATAGATGGGGACCACTACAGAAAACCACCAGCAATCAAAAGGCAGAATTATAGAGCCTTGTCGCAGTGGATATGTCTACTAAATACTCTTGAATCTGAGGCTCAGGAAACATTGTGAAAGACAGCAGAGGATCAGGGAATTTGCTGTGAGGTTGTGCATCATATCAATTGGTTGTCCAGTGTCAAATTCTCAGCCCTGAAGATATATATATATATATATATATATATATATATATATATATATGGACTAAACAGCTGATATTTAGAAATACACATGTATATAAAATATGCACGCAATAACAATTAGTAGAAAAAGAGGCGTGAATTTGAAGGAGAGTAGGGGTGGGTACATGGGAGGCTTTGGAGAGAGGAAAGGGAAGTTGTAATTATATTATAATCTCAAAATAAAATTAAAAAAGAAAACAAAAGTCATTAAAGTATACACTTAGTAGTACATACTCTACTGTTCTTCATCCTCAGGATTATCCTCTGTGAATATACTACTGATGACAGTTGTTGCTTCAGATAAGTTAGATGCCCCATGGACAGCATTTCTCAAAATGTCTATTCCATATTTGGCTCGCAAGGAATTTGGGGAGAGCAGTTTTGCTTCTTCTGGATCTACTGCACCCATCATTTTTTTCCATTCTGCAACAGCATTCCACTTGGTCAGAGCCATGATTACAGATATGCCCCTGCAAATAGTGATTCTTTTAGAAGGCAGGCTCCTTCAAGGGTATGAATTGCACACAGGGTTAAAGACAGAATACTTCTGGTCCATATCCAGAGCATTTTTTCCTAACAATGATCCTGTGCTTTTGTTGTTGTTGTTTTCCTTCTTCAATACGTTTTGTGTTAATTGAGTGCTGTAATTTAATTCTAAAGAATTAATGTGAATAGAGTTATAGTTTCACTACTTTTGGGACCACACAAACATTAACATGGGCCTAGGACTTTTGTTTTATGTCCACCCTTCAGCCTCTAGCATTTTAGGGGTTGCCTCCACTGCAGAAAGCCATCTTGCACAGGCCACCTTCATTCCCTAGGTGTGTTCTATCTAGTGATTGCCTGGTACCTGGGACAAAGATGTCTTACCTCAGCTCAATGCAGAACCACTTGGATGGCCAGGCTAGATGGTAAGCAGAAATTTTGGTCATCTGTAGAGTACTCTCACCCTGACCTCTTCCTCCTGATCCTCCTGCCTCTCTTTCCTTCCCCCCCCCCACCACAAATCCCCTAAATACATAGCCTGAATCATGAACTCACCCCAGGAAATGTCACCTACAACAGATGTACCTGGAACCTCACTTTCTTAGTGTTTATGTTGCAGGTTCTCAGTCATCCTCATGTCCTGTGAAGTGGTCTTGTGGTTTCCTCTCCATTTTACAGAAAAGGAGAGTTAAGCATAGTTTTGCATTGGCTAAGCAAGAATCTTAAGCCCTGGCAGATTCTACATGTATTGTGAAGAGCTAAAGAAATAGAAGGAGGAGGGATGAGAAGGAAGGGAATGAGAGAAGAAATTGTAAAAATAAATAAACTTTAAAAGTTAACAAGAAGTCTTTTCTTGAGTCAAATTAAATATAAAGTTATTAAAAAATAATTTGTTTCCCACAGTTCCTATAGCATACAATTACCATCCATGGCTACAATACAAAAAACCACATTTCAGAAACTTACGAAGATAAGGCTTCCACCACATTTTTATAAAAGTCCTTTCCTGTTATTTTGTAATAAACTTGGTTTGCATATTCAGGAGTCAAGTGTATTTCCTTCAGCAGGGTTATCTCAAATCCTGCCTCCTTAATGGTTTTCAGGATCTCCACTGAGGAAACAAACATTAGGTAACATTGTAGGTCATTTCCTCCATGTTCATAGTATATTCAAGATCAAAATAATAGAGGAAAATAATAGTTCAACTTGCATCTTGCTGTTTATCTATATGCACAATTGTGTAAAATCAAAAAGCACCAGATTAACAGTCAGAAGACCTTCAGAATTTTAGCATGAATCTCCCACTTTGTTCAACTTATGGAGAGTCAAACGGAAAAAGGAGATCTGCTGGCATGATAAACATGAAGATATGTTTTCATCGTTAGTCACCAAATGCCCAAGAATACCTTATATGATCTGTCCTGGGGAAGAGCCAAGGTGAAAATTCTTTCCTGAAGTGAAAAGGCGCTGCTGAGTGCATCATTACAGTAAACCCTGTAAGAATCTCACCAAGAGCCTGCTCACTGAAGCCTGCATTCTCCAGACCAAGGGGAACCAACTAAAAGACTTGGAGCTTTCTAGTAAAGGAAGAAGAGTTGGAAAAGACAAGATGCATTGGAAGGAGGAAGAGGAAAGGAGAAAGACACAGCTAAAGGAAATGCACTTGATACCAGAGCATGCAAAGTACATAGGAAAGAAATGATTTGTTTTACTCCAAATAAAAACATTCAGAGGTGCTAGGCTGGGAGGAAAGGTGAGTGAGACCTAATCAATGGAAAACCCGAAGAAGCCTGGGCCTTTCCTGCTGGCAAGGAGACAGCTATGATCTACCCCAGGAGACCCTCTAGTAAGAAATGTGAGACTACAAAGCATACAAGAGAAATGGGCCAATCCTATAAATTTGTCATAAGAAAATGATATTATAAAGAATAATATGTATGGTTCCTAAACCACAGTAAAGGAAACTATTATCTCTGGACTCTCAGGAATTCTTATTTCTAGAAATGTTGACTTTTGTGTTAGGCACGGATAGAGCAAGGTGTTGTCACAAAGCAGTGTGTCTTAGTTGATGTTTCTACTGCCATGATAAAACTCCATAATTGAAAACAACTTGGGGAGAATAGGGGTTATTTCATCTTACACTTCCACATCAGAATCCATCATTGGAGGAAGTTAGGGCAGGAATTTAAGAGGCAGAAAATGAAGCAAAAATAATGAAGATGCACTTCTTACTGGCCAGCTCACCATGGCTTGCTCAGTCTGGTTACAGTTCTTCTAAAACTTATGACCAATCTGAGCCTTGGCCCTATCTGCACCAGGAGACAGACCAGGGGACAGCCCCAAACCATCCAGGGCTGCATCTGCCAACATCAGAGACTTGGCCTCACCCCCTGGGTATGCCCCATCTGCACCCACTGTAGGAAGAGATGAAAAGATGGGTAGATGACAGTATAAAAATACATTCATATATGGGGCCTCTGGTAGTGGAACCAGTATTTATCCCTAATGCACAAATGGGCTCTGGGAGTCCATTCCCTATGGAGGGATACTCTCTCAGCCTAGATACATGGGGGAAGGCCTAGGTCCTGTCCCAAATAATGTGACAGACTTTGATGATCTCCCATGGGAGACCTCACCCTCTCTGAGAAGTGGATGGGAGTGGTGAGATGGGGAGATGGTGGGAGGAATGGGGGGCAGGAGGGAGAGGGAACTAGGATTGGTGTGCAAAATATATTGTTTTAATTTAAAAAACCTTAGGACCATCTTTCCAGGATTGGCACTGCCCACAATGAGTTAGGTTTTCTTACTTCAGTTATAAATAATCAAAGAAAAATATCCTATAGATTTGCTGGCAGTCCAACCCAGTGAGAGTATTTTTCTCAATTGAGGTTCTTCCTTCTTAAATGAATCTAGCTTGTGTCAAGCTAACCATTTGCCAGCTGTCCCACAAACACATCACCATCCAACTATGACCTTACTGGTCCTTTTGTCCTCTGATGTCATGTTAACATTAATATCACAATTTCAAACATCCCAAATTTAAAACTCCTAGTCTTCACAAAACCCAGTCTTTAAAAGCATCCAAAGCCTCAAACTTCAAGGCTAAAATATCTGGTCTCTTTAAAACTTTAAAGTCTCTCTAAACTCAAAAGTCTCTTTAAAAGTTCAAAGTCAACTGTGAGCACCTGTAGAAATAAAAAAAAAAGAGGTAAATACTTCCTTACTCCAAGAGGGGAGAATGAGTTCACAGTCACAGTCAAATCAAAGCAAAACAGTATTGTGGTGTAAAAGTCTCAGTGTTTGATGTCTAAGACCTATTCACAATCCTCTGGGCTCTAAAGAGAACCCATGTCTTCAAATTTGTTGTTTGCAGCACAAGACAGCTTGTCTCATAGGCTCAGGCCCACTCCACTCCACACATGCTGCTGTCCTTAGTGGTTGTCCCATCATCCTGACATCTCCAGAACTCTGGGGTCTCTGCTGCAATTGAGCCAATAGCTTCTGGGCTCTTTCAGGGACTCAGACCTTGCCATAGGCTGCCAAACCTTCTCTCAATGACCCCCTCCATCATCAGGCTTCTACTGCAACTGACGATGGCTTTGACCAGTGGTCTCTCACTATGTCTATCATTACAGGAAGTTAGGGCAGGGCCTAACTTAGTCCGGAACTGAAGTAGAAGCCCTAAAAGAACAGTGTTGATGCACTTGCTCCTTATGTCTGACTCATCCTGCTTTCTTAAACAGAAACATCTGCCCAGGAGTGGCAACATCTACAGTGATGTAGTCCCATTTATCTCAACAATTAATCAAAAAAGTGGTTCTTTGTGTATGAGTCATCTTTCCTGGCTTAGTTCCAGACCCATAGCCCAAGAACCACCCTTCCTTGTTAGGTCTTTGAGCCCTTTTTGTGACAGAGACACCTTTCCTGGGAAAATCACTTCTCCCCATTAGTACCCCTCACCAAAACCCTCTGTCATCCACTAAGCAACAATCTTAGTCCTAAACCTGTATCTTTGAACCCGTTGTACATACAAAACCCCCTTGCCTGGACTAGCTCTACCCCCATGGTTTGGGGGCCAGCTTCCGTGGTTGAACAGTTAAACAGCTCATTAACCAGCTTTACCTGACCTAACTCAGGTAAACTCCTCCACTGGCCCAATCTAAGGAAAACTAGACTATCATATCAGACACACAACCAAAAAGTTCCACATGCCTGGGTTAGATCACAAAAACAAAAGCAACAGGAATGGCCAAAACAGTATGTCTCCCATCAAAACCACTATTCCTGCAGAAGAGTCCAGGAGGCATAATTTAAAAGAACATTCATAAACTTTATCAAATAATTCAATGAATTTAAAGAAAATATGAATGAACACTTAAGTCCATGTTGATAAAAGTAAGTACTTGAGTAATGTCAGGATTTGAAGACTAAATTCATTTAAAAAATTAAAGGGAAAACAAGCTAAAATAATGTTAAAATTGAAAAGCTTAATATCTCAACTAGAAAATTCAGGGAAAAAAGCATCTTGTAGAATGAATCAAGCAGAGGATAAAATGTCAGGACTTGATGATATAGTATATGCTTACTTCTTTGTTCCTCGGTCACATGAGGTTTAATCAATGCCAGTGTTGTCTGAGGAGGGAAGAAATATTCTATTTCCTTCTCAGCTGCTTCCTTGGAACTGCTTCCATAGAACTGGTTAATAGGAAAAGTTCCTTTGGAAAATTGTGCACATAAACTTTGAAAAGAGAGGCCAAGTCAAAAATTGAATGTAATATAACAATCTAATGTAAATAACACTACTTATTTATTTACTGAAAAAAATATCATTTAACACTACCCATTCCATATCTAGGTACTGTGCAAAAGGAAATAATTAGCCAGTGACTTAGATATACTATGTCCTTTCAGGGAGGTGCCAAACATTAGAAAGGAAATATGTGAACATTTAAATCCCATTATTAACGAATATTACAATGGACAACTAGAACAGGGACCCCTGCAGAGAAAAGGCCTGGACTAGAATCATAGCTAGCTACATGACCTCACTTGGTTAAATTAAAGTTCTCTATATAGTGGTGTTAAGGCTTATCTTCATTTTTCTCCTAAGTATTTCAAAACTCTTATGATCAATTAAAGACATTGAAACTGTGATCACAGCTTTAATTGAGGTAATTTGTCATAAATTGTGGTTTATGGAAACCACTAGTTAGGTTTTTAGTTTCCAGGCCCAAGTCAAGCATCCCACCTTTTCTTGAAAAACCATAGTAATTCAAGCTTATGTTAAATGAGATCTCCACAAAAAGCAGTCAATTATTCTACCGGAAAATCTTTCCCTCTCAGACTAAAACTGTACTTCCTGTATCTTAGACTTAAAAAGAAATTAAATTGCATTGCATGAAAAAGGGTAGGGAATCATGGTGTGAGCAGTACCTCTCTGGAAAAACTGTATAAGCTTCCTCAACATTTTTTGGTCCTATTAAATCTTTCCAATATTTCACAGCATGTTCTCTCAACAGAACAAGGATGTAAGATTGATTACTGTTAGAAAAAGCAAAACCAAAGGTTAATGAAAGAATGTCTTAGTAGATAGTGATATAGAGAAAATACAAGTGTGTGTGTGTGTGTGTGTGTGTGTGTGTGTTAAACTGACTGAAGCATTTCAAATGATCTCTAAGGAGTCCAACATTAATACATGTTGGCATCCACTCAATACTTATATGACCTGGGAAGAAAGACAGAAATGAAATGGTAGGACCCCAGTTCATTATAGTTGTTTCTTCTAGGCTGTCATGCTCTGGTTGGTTTATGTAACCTGACTGGATTTTTGTTTCAGCTGCATTTCAGTTACTTCTCTAGATAATCTGGCAACTTTCTAATATCTCATTTCTTCTCCAGGATGTGTGATATTGAAGGTGATAAAAGGCCCCCAAAAGAGTAATTAGACTGCTCAAAGGGCCAAACAGTTCTCAGTTTGGATTTGGTAATGTTGCCCTCTCTGGAATTCTGCATCCAACTCAACTGGAAACAGGTATGTGTCTGTGTCCATGGGACCTATTACTTGCTCTAACAGTATTCCAGGAATGAAGAGCAAACAGATATTTGAGCAGAGAATGAGGACAGTAACAAGACTGACAAAGACATAGGCCAGGAATTTGTTTATAGAATTTAGTAGAAGTTTGTCAATCTAATAAAAAGAAAGCTTAAGATTGAAATGAGTGGAAAATAGATCATAGAACTTTCGAAATCTGAACACTGCTTTACCTAGACATGTAAGATAAAAGATTATTAAAATACTCTTCATCCTCATAGTCCTTGGTCATTGTTCTGGCTTCTTCCTCTGATAAAATTATCTTTCTCTGCATCAGTATGGTGAAACCGTCATTCTGAATAATTTTCAAAACATCATCTAAAGAAAAACAGTCATAACAAAGTAAGTTTCAAACTTCCAGATTCCTGGCTACAAACACAGTACATGGTGAAGCATTGTGAGGTATCTTATGTGTCTAATATTTTGGGAAATGTAAACATTCACAAAAACAGCTTCTCAGGTTTCAAGATGAATAGCACTTCTTAATCTGTCAATTATAATATTGCTTCAAATTTTCTTACCACATTGTAATTATTCACAAACACACAAAGAAGCCTCAGGAAGTAATTTCTTTTGCTGCACATGTACCATATATATGCAGATATGTGGTGACCTGAGTGAAAATGGCCCCCATAGGTTCATATATTTGAATGTTTGGTCCTAAGTTGGTGGGACTTTGTAAAGGCTTAGGATGTGTGTCCTTATTAGAGAAGATGTGTCACTGCTTGTGTGCTTTGAGGTGAAGAAGCACATGTCATTGCCAGCAGTTCTCTCTTTCTCTGCCTGCATCTTGAAAATCAGATGTAAGCTCTTAGCAATTGCTCTAGTGCTATATTTGGCTGCCTGCCACAATGCTTCCTGGCACGATGGTTATGGACTAGCCCTCTGAAACTATCAGGAACCAATCAATTAAATATTTTCTTTTTTGTGTTGCCTTAGTCATAGTGCCTCTCTACAGTAATAGAAAAAATTTAACCAATTCTAATATAAATATTTATAAACAGTAGGCTATTATTTTACTTGTCTATTTGGAAAGAAATAAGTTGACTGAATATCCAAAAGTATTTCTCAATCTCCTTCTCACTAGCCTGATTCTCTCTGTTGAAGACCAGAAAATAAGTCAATTTCCATTCTTCCTCATGCACGATATAGAAATGAACTCATATGTGATATATGACATGTACAAAGAAAATTCTGAGATGGTTCTGAAAGACGTATCTAGTGAAAATCTCCCTGCTCTACATTGGTTTTCTGCTTCATATAGCTGAGGACATGATGCTGGGATCTGTAGACACCACTGGATGAGCCAAAAATACAAATCTTAACTCAGAGCCCAGTAAGTACTATGTCTGGTTGATAGTTTTTTTTTTTCAACCAGAATCAAAGAGAATAAAACTAAGGAAGGCATACACAAGGATAACCAACTACCACTTCAGATAAGCGTAGTTTCTTTAGCTGTAATAGCATCATGGTTGTCACTATTAATTGTCAATCTTAAGCCAAAAATGGTCAAAAATTGAGACTATAATCAAACCAAGGACCAGTAGATTAGGGTGCCTGAGAAACAGTTTCAATTTGCTTTCCCCCTTTTATCATCATCCCAGCAACTTCAAGCAGCTCTAAGGTCCCTAAGCTGTGACAGCAATATGTTATTTTCTTAGCCTCTATTAAAGAAAACCAATTTTGTTTAAGCAATAACATTTCATAAACTCTTCAAAATTTGATCTTTCTTTCATTGCCCAGAGTGTATTTGCTTTCTTTAGAAAAAAAATGGAAAAGATGTCTTAGTTGTCCATTAATGGGAGTCTGATACTCAAATGCAGTCCAAACCAAGGCATCTGACATGGACTAAAAATAATGTTAAATGTTGGGGAGAAAGAGGTGGAGGGAGAGAAAGAGAGAGGGAGGAGAGAGGAAAGACAGGAGAGACAGAGGAGAGAGAAGAAAGAGAGTGAGAGTTGAATTTAAATTTGGAGCAAGTCTGACTGAGAGTTCAGACAGAGCACACATGGGAGGAGGAAGGCATGGGAAAGATGAGAAGCTTTCAGACACAATAAACAATCTGTTGAAGAGATGTCATTATACAGGAACAAAGAAGCAAGGACCATCTAAGGGTACTAAGATCCCCTGGAGGTTTTGGGTTTTGTAAGTGTATCACTGAATTATGTTCATTAACCTGTTCGAGTATATTCCTGTCTTAACCAGATAACTTCACTCTTGGGGGGAGAAGGCAATGTTGGAAGAGAATAAGGGGCATCTGCAGATAAACAGTCATTGAGAAGCAGAGATGGCATATACAGAATAAGAAAGGGGTAGTCATCTTGATGGTTCATATGCAGCAAAGAGTTATCTCTTTCAGCCAAGGATGATGCTTTTTCATTTTTATAATAATAAGGTATGAGTAAATGGAAACATCTTCAGCTTTCTGCCACTAGCACTCTTCTAATCTGCAGATCCCGAGAATCTCTCTCTTACTGCAAAGGAAATAAGGTCTTTGCTCTGAGGTTAATCGTCATATATATCCTACTACAGAAATCATTTCTGCCTGGCTGTATTCATGGTCAGTCCTTCAGCTAATTAATAACATGGCACAATGCAAATACAAAAGACTCAAAATTCTAACTCTAAGATAGATGATACGACAGGGAGCAAATGATCCTAGTGACATATGCAACAGCTGTAACCTCACAGCATTAAATTTCTCAGAATATTCCTACTACCTAGGAAAGTATTATTGGCCAAATACCAAGGGTGGTCAGACCTCAAAAGTTCAACATCTATAGATTCAAACAAATGCAACTTGTAAGACAGTTAGGTCTGTAGGGCTGCTGAATGTATATTGAACACATAAATATTTTTATTACTTTTTGCTAAACAAACCATTTGCACTGCATTACATATTGCAAGTCATATAGAGATCATCTGGTGTACACTGTGGCATCGATGTTTGTCACAAGCATAGAGTACACCATTTATATTTGGGATGGGGTTGAGTGTCAGAGCAACTCTGCAGGCAACCCCTGAAGACATTAAGAGAGGAGTGACCTCAGGAAATCACATGTAACCACTGTCTGAGCAAAATAAATAAATAAATAAATAAATAAATAAATAAATAAATGTGGCAGAATTCTGAATGATGAATTGTGTGGTATGAAGATCATATATCTTTAAAAAGATGCTCAAAATGTGGGCTTCTGAGAGCAAGGAGGAGTGTATGAGAAAGTTTAGAGTGGGGAAAGGTAAGGAGAAAATTTAGATAATTATATAATGACCTCAAAAAATAAAAATAATTTAATAAAAGTCAAGGCAGTACTAAACAGACCAAGTAAATAAACTTAAATAAAAATTAAGTTGAAAACTAATCAGGCTCCTCCAGCCTTTGCTTGAGATGAGTGTGGTCTCTCCCTCCATCCCCCCTTGGAACTTGCTGGATCTGCTCTGCTCTAGTGGACCCACCCCAGCAAGACAGACTACTCTGAGTCTGGCCACACCTCAGTCTTGCCCCCCCACCCTGCCCTCTGCCCACTGCTGGAGGTGAAAGTGAGCTCCACCTCCATCCCCTGATTGGAGCTTGCTGGGTCTGCTCCACTCATAGTAGACCTGCCCTGGCAGGATGAATCACCCCAAGTCTGGCCACACCTCAGTCTTTGCCCACCCTCTGCCCTCTGCCCTCCACTTGAGTCTTGCCCCCCCACATCCTCTGCTTGAGTGAGGAGAACACCAGGAGAGGCAGGACAATTCAGTTATCCACAAGTCTTGGCCCACCTACACCACCACGAGACTAGAGGAGAAGGAGAGACCCCACCTGCACCCACTCAAAGAAGGGATGGAAAGACGACAGTATAAGAACATACTCAACAAACGAAAGACCAATATGACACCACCAGAATCTAGGGACTCCACACTTCAGTAAAACCTGAAAATCCCAATGCAGATGAAGCAGAAGAGAAGGACCTTAAAAACAATTTTATGAAGACAATAGACACCCTAGAAGAGGAAGTGAGAAAATCACTTAAAGAAATAGAAGAAAAAAAATGAACAAATAATACTTGAAATGGAGGAAAAGAAAAACCAAAAAATTCAAGAAATAAACAAATCTCTTAAAGAATGTAAAGAAAGCCAAGAAAAAAACAGACAAACAAGTGAAGAATACAATTCAAACAGTTCAAGACTTGAAAGATGAAATAGAAACAATAAAGAAAACACAGAATGAGGGGATGCTGGAAATAGAAAAGCTGGGTAAATAATCAGGAACTGCAGATATAAGTATAATCAATAGAATACAAGAGATGGAAGAGAGAATCTTGGTTGTTGAAGACTCGCTAGAGGATATACTGTCATTGACCAAAGAAAATCTCAAGTCCAACATATCCCTAACACAAAATATCCAGGAAATATGGAACACTGTGGAAAGGCCAAACCTAAGAATAATAGGAATGAAGAGCAAACAGATATTTGAGCAGAGAATGAGGACAGTAACAAGACTGACAAAGACATAGGCCAGGAATTTGTTTATAGAATTTAGTAGAAGTTTGTCAATCTAATAAAAAGAAAGCTTAAGATTGAAATGAGTGGAAAATAGATCATAGAACTTTCGAAATCTGAACACTGCTTTACCTAGACATGTAAGATAAAAGATTATTAAAATACTCTTCATCCTCATAGTCCTTGGTCATTGTTCTGGCTTCTTCCTCTGATAAAATTATCTTTCTCTGCATCAGTATGGTGAAACCGTCATTCTGAATAATTTTCAAAACATCATCTAAAGAAAAACAGTCATAACAAAGTAAGTTTCAAACTTCCAGATTCCTGGCTACAAACACAGTACATGGTGAAGCATTGTGAGGTATCTTATGTGTCTAATATTTTGGGAAATGTAAACATTCACAAAAACAGCTTCTCAGGTTTCAAGATGAATAGCACTTCTTAATCTGTCAATTATAATATTGCTTCAAATTTTCTTACCACATTGTAATTATTCACAAACACACAAAGAAGCCTCAGGAAGTAATTTCTTTTGCTGCACATGTACCATATATATGCAGATATGTGGTGACCTGAGTGAAAATGGCCCCCATAGGTTCATATATTTGAATGTTTGGTCCTAAGTTGGTGGGACTTTGTAAAGGCTTAGGATGTGTGTCCTTATTAGAGAAGATGTGTCACTGCTTGTGTGCTTTGAGGTGAAGAAGCACATGTCATTGCCAGCAGTTCTCTCTTTCTCTGCCTGCATCTTGAAAATCAGATGTAAGCTCTTAGCAATTGCTCTAGTGCTATATTTGGCTGCCTGCCACAATGCTTCCTGGCACGATGGTTAT